AATGTGCCCAGAGAGGAAATGGACCCATTAAAACTTCCCTGGTCAGGAATCAAGTGGCAGAGCTGCAGTTTCCAGCTGCTAGCTGAAGGCGATGGGGCTAGAACTGGCATCAAGTCCTGCTAGAACGATCCCTGCCCTATTCATTTAAAACAGGCCAGGAAGGCAAATTCATTTTGCAGCGGTGCAAGTCCCAGGCCAAGAACGATGCCCTGAACAAAACAGTCCTCGTCTATGAGTAGTAGCTCTGAGATACTTCCAGAATATAAATAAATACATACTAAGAACTGCAGAAAAGTCTCACTCGAGCAACATATTTTAAACAAGTTTACAGCTTTTTCTCCACACAATATGCTTTCCCAAAATATTGGCACTGAAAACTGCTTGATTTCATATCTAAACCCAAACCAGACCTCATACCTGTTCTTCTGTAAGTCTAGCCCCATGAAATTTCGGCAAGAGCTTTCTTTAGTGTGGCTTGCTCCAAGCTGACTCCAAAAACGTAGCTGAAAGTGCACCAAAATTTGCCTTTTGATTCAAGACTTTTTAAGAGAATGTCTCTTATGCCATAAGTGTGGGGAGCATTCTGAAGGCATGAATGTTCAGACTCAAACTCTGCCAGCATAGAGTGAAGACTTCTTTTTTTTTTATTCTTGCTACATTTTGGATTTAACATTTACTTTCAATGCCAGAAGACATGCAAATACTTTTTTTTTATAGAGGAGTATGCAGCTACAAATTCTCTAGATCTGCTAACATTTTAAAGAAGATCCACCGGGCCTAATCCTACCAGCTTGCTCCTGGTCTAAACCACCACCGACTTCTCTGAAAGATTTTTTAGATTAATCTCTACAGCACCAGAAAATCCATGGGCAAAAAAATATAGAAAGCACAAAACATGCCTTCATTTTGATATGAACAGAAGGTCTACAAATTAGTTTGAAGTGCCTAATAACTTTCAAAATTGTTTAAAGGCGGAGGTTAAATAAGCAGCCAAGTTTTCAGCAGATGCTCCGGGATGCTTGGTGCTCAGCACTCCTGAAAATCTGTCTATCCATTCAGATGCTGAAATACAGATGTAGGCATGCATTATGTTAATGAACCATTTCTGGGGGGAAAAAAAAAAGAGCCTAACGTTTGCTTATATTAGACTAGAAACTGAAAAAAACTGTAGTGGAATTGTTTTTTTTTTCTTCTTCTTTTTTTCCCCCTCCATTTGAGTTGCCTTTTTTTCTTAAGATGACAAGGATTCACTTTCATTCTTTTTCTGCACAGGTACATTTATTATTGAATAAGCACCATCATGTGCTCAATGTGATTAAAAAAACGAAATGTAGGCCCTGCACTCAGGTAGCTCACAAGAGAAAAGAAAAGCCCCAAGAGATGTCATGGGGGATGGTACTTCCTTCCACCATCTCTTAAAGGCATAAAAGCATCTTCTTTCCTATTTCTGTTGTGCTTGGTAGTTATGAATGATGCTTCTCTAGCACAGGGAAAAGAAGAAGAACACTTTATTAAATTTCTAATATATGATCCTGGAGAAATACTGGCTTAATATGTGTGCGTGTGTATGTGCTTATATGTGTAATACTTGTAATAGACACACATTTTTAAAAGGATGTGTTACAACCTTGTGGTTTCAGAAAAACTTGATTAATAGCTCCCCTTCCAATATTTGCAGAGTAAAGGATTTTTCTAAGTTAGACTTTTGCACTTTTCCAAAAACTGTGTTTGGAACAACTTCACAATTTTATATTAAATTTAAAGATTAAACCAGTGGCGTACTACCACATATATCAAATCTGAAGTAGCTGAATGCCCATTTTTAGATACTTGTAGCTACTGTTACAGAAAATTGAATTCAGCTGCATCCTTGAAATTGCTTTTGTAATTTCTTTACAAACATAGAAAAAGACTTAATCTATCATAATATTGGTCTCATGTTCCAAATACTTATATTTTGAAAACCTCAACACAACAGAAATTATACAAAGAATTCTTATTTGACATATTAAAGACACAACATTTTAAATTTCATTACTGCTTTATTGACTGTGTGTCACAATTCTGTGAAGATCAGGTTCTCATGCTGAATTGGGAACATCTTCACTGGGATGAATCTATTGTTTCCCAGCTGAGTTCGGTGGTTTCAGTTTGTAGCCTGCTAAAAAGCAGGAAGTTCTGCTTAAAAAATCAGAACAAACAAAAAAACTTCGTACCGCAATCTCTGTGGAAAAGAGCCCTCAGAACACAAGTAAGGATTGCACAGATTTTCCATGCAAGCCAACAAGGGGGCTCTGAAAATGCAAAAAGAAGCTGGTAGCACATTGCAACAGCCTGTCAAAAGAGGCTGCACCCATTCTTCGATTGCCTGAGCTGCACCCCTTAGTTAAATATTGGTCTTCGAATCAAAAGAAGAACCAAAGGATGTTTTGTACACAGGAGCTTGACAGTCACAGAGTGGTTATGGGAAAAAATAACCATGTAAACACTTCTCTTGCTTCCCAAGTCAAAACTGCTTTTGGTGCAGCAAATGAAATCTACACTATATCTACTATATATCTACATACTATCAGGTAGCATGTACATAGCATTATTTCACTTACCAGTTTACTGGATAAGCCAAGTCACTGTCATATGTTGTTGTAACTGATACGATATTTTGGAAGAAGAGAAATTTTGCTCCATGTTTTTGCCTTAGGTAAACAACACTGTACATCTGTATACTCCAACACTTATTTTACAAAGCATGTTTAGTGACTCAGAAAAAAAAAAATTCAGATTTGCAGAAGGAGTTCCCTTTATTATAAAAAATATTTGTCAGCTTTAATATTAACCTACCAAAGTTTTTGAAATTGAAGTCTTAGAAATGCATAGGACACACATATACACATATACATATGCAGAATACACATGCTACTCGCTAACAATTTTCCCTTAATATGTTAACTAGAAATTGACTGTGACTTTAATGATATTTTCTCCCCTGTATAGAATCATGTTAAGTCAATGACCTATTTAAGTATGTTGGCAGCACTTTATGTCTTGTGACTTTATATTTCACAAAGAAGTACTGTGTTTTGTGTTATTTACATCAAAAAGACGTACTATGTAAAACTTCACCTTTGTTAAAAATCACTTTATCCTAAGTATTTAAATTATTTCATGCTTTCAAAAGGCACAATTAAGTATCTAATGAGAACTTCCATTCAATGTTACACATAATACAAAAAGAGAAAAAATGTTTGAGACATCAATGATAATATTTTAAATATATTGGCATAGGAAAGTAGATGTCTTTTTGCTTTATTAAACTGACAGTTCAGTTCTGAAACTTTATTTTGAAAAGAGTTAAAAAGGATTTGTGTCTTTAGAAATAAAAAATATAACAGGCATATCTAAAAAATATAGAAGAGAAAACCTGATTGTTACTACTAATGAAATAGCTGATGACAAAATAGTAGTCTTTTTGATTTTGATCACAAAAAATAAACTGGTAGTGACAGGATATGATGGATAGATTTGACATCCTGGCAAATCACTGTCATTGATTCAATTATTCTAATTCAGAATAAAAGCTGTATACAGTATGTGTTTATGCTACAGTGGAGTTTTTTAAGTGATTGACATTCATCATATTAGTTAGACAGTTTTAAAAGCTATGTCTTTGTTTTACACAGTGTTGTCAAGAAAAAATAAAGTAGAACCTGGATTGCAGAAAAAAAAGCAAACCACTTAACCAACTTGTGGTTCCAAACCCATCAAAATAAGTTACCGTTATTGCATCCTATTAACACGTTCTTTGAAGAGTCAATTGCAGTCCAGCCATGTAATACACTATTATAAAGACTAAATTTTGAAACTGTAATGCAATCTTACAGCTGGGTGGCTTGGAAGTTCTGCGGAGAAGAAGATATTATCTTTCAAAATGGAAGTCAGCCTCAGAAGAAAGAATGCAAACCACTTTACTTTACAGGTCAGCTTTGCTTTACCGTTCTTTTGTGTGATGCACACAGAAATACATACGAAATAGTTGGAAGTTCACAAATGGTGTATCTGAGGGTACAGAAGCCTGAATTACTTGTATATTCTGCCCTGCTTTAGACCAGCATGCTGTGATACCCTTCCCTGAGCTCAAATGCACTCTTCTGGTTTTCTAGCATTAATGTAGCTGTCGGTTTGAATCTCAATCTTGAATTATGTCTGTTGACATAATTTCATAGTGCTGACTTCAATTGTTTCGGATTACTGTTTTGAACTACACAAGGAAATATATTCTTTTCTCTATGGTTAGTAAATTCCATTCAAGTGCATTTTAATGCATGTAGTAAGCCATAAGGCAAAGTAATTATCTATAAAATATTCTGATTCAAACCCCAACAATTCTTAATTACTGGCATATTCAAATAAAAACTGTCTTATATATTTTAAATGTATTATTACATATTCAATAAGCTAATGTAAATATTTCCTGAAATTTAAGAATGGTATTTCAATTACAAAAATTAATGTTTTTAAAACCACAGCTGTGTAGTTTGCTTTCAGAACAACACGTGACAATGAATTGCTTAGTTTCATTCCTTTATTTCAATGACCCGTCCAACTTAACTTATTATTCGTACAAAATATTAAATGTAAGTATATAAAAATTCCATTGGGAAAAATATCCCTTCATTTTTATTGTACAAAAAAACCTAGCAATGAAAGGGTAAGTGTAATTTTCATATTTTAAGGAAACTAACAAAATACTGCATGTTTCCAGTCGAGCAGAACAATGGCAGGACCCAGCATAACAGAAGCTTTAACAAAAAGCAAAATCCAAACAAGCCCAAAATTAGTACAAAGAAACCAGAACAAAAAAAAAAAAAAAAAAAAAAAGAAAAAAAAGGCACCATATGATAAGATGTATTTTTAAAGACTGCTGGGTCAAGTCATTAAGAAAAATATTTATACAAGTCATTAACACTCATAATTAGAGTGTCATATAGAACTGAGTGAAACTGCTAAGTAGAAATCACTAGAAGTCCAGGTGCTTCTTGCCGATGGCCATAGCACCACATCCTGAGCTCAGCAGTTTGGCGGATTCTGCCAGATCCTGTTTGCTTGCGCGGCTCACTGTGTCTGACAAGTCTGGAGGCAAATGCAGGCGCTGTGGCAGGAGATTTTCAGGAGGGAGAGGGAGAGAGAGACAGGGAGAGGGAGAAGGAGAGAGAGGAAAAAACAGGGAGGGGAAAAAAAAGAATAATTGCAGTAGACTTTATTTTCCATAGCATACTTCAAAATGCAGTCTTTTTCCTGACCGATCAATATTTACTCACACAAATAGAACACTTCCCAGACACTTTTTTAGGCTGACCTGGAAACAGTTTTGTATGTTTTCAATATATTGGATTCTGTAAATTGGAATAGATTTTTTCCTCATGAAAATTTTCTAAACAAAATCCAAATTTGCTCAGGGTATTTGGTTATATCTACGGGCATTTTTCCTTTAAAAATAAGTGTTTTGCCTGTATGTCAACGCTTATATCAAATCCTTTGATTTCTACAGCATTACAATATAAGTATAGTTTTGTTTCAAACATGCATACTTTGTGGCAGAGTCTGAAAATAAATGATGTGATGGCCAACAGATGGAGAGGGCTTACCCTGGTTGCAGTGTTATTCTGCTAAATGTTTCTTTTTCATATTCTACTGATAGTTGTTAATAAAAACAAGCAGTGATAGTAGTTTCATTTGCATAAGGCAATCATATACGCTAATCAAACCTTGCCCCATCTCTTGTGAGTTGTAGGAACATTACATCCATTTTACAGATGAGGAAACTGAGACACAGGTTACATGGTTGTCCACAAGCACACAGTCCTTGCACAATAAACCTTCTTTTTCAACTACGACAAAAATATTTCAACTCTCCCTCTGAGGATCTTTTACACTGGAGATATATAAAAGACATGACATTACCATTTAGCTCTTGTAAAGTAAGGTGAAAATTAATGTAAAACCGAGGCTTTACTTGGTTAATTAGTGGCTTGCTTTTGGACACAGTGAGGTACTGAAAGCTGGTCAGATGAGACAGTTGAGCATCTTCTACACAGTGCAATAATTTATCAAACTGGTATCATGGAAGGAGCATATTTCTTGAAAGATTTAGTAGGCAAAGGCTAAACTGTGTGGCTCTTTTAAAATGCACATGCTTCTGAAGGGAACAGGGTAACAGTAATGGCTGCAAAACTGTATTAGAAGGCTGTGTGGGCTGTCCTCTGCTTTCGCTATGTTTTTGCTTTTATCACAACACATAAATACAGCTGCCTTTTATTCAATACCTTTGTAACTTTCATAGGATAAGACTTCAATTAAAAAGTATAAGAAATATCTGTATTTACAGTAGGCTGACTGTTCAATTCATTGCTGCCTTTGAGATTGTGCAATTCGACGGAACTTGAGAGGTGCTCCAAAGTGCTTCCCACCACCGGCCACTCCTGGTTGTGGGCAGCGCAGGGAGAAGAACGTGTGCTGGGTTATTGTCTTCTCCCAGAGAAGGAAATTCATAAAGTAATGCATGTGGGGTGGGAAAGCCTGCAGCTGGGGTGAGATGACACACCTCAGTGCTGAAATAGGAGAAGTGCGTGGTTTTTTGGTAGCACTTTGCGTATGAAGCACAATTTATTTATCAAAACCCATTCCCCTTTATATAACATTTAGTAACTATGCGGCTCTTGCATTTCACCGTACTAAAATCAGTGCTGTGCTATGGTATCCTTCACTTATGGTTCTTCACTTATTCCAGAGAAGGTTAAGCATGACTGTGGATGTGAACTGTGGTCCATGATGCCTCATTTCTACATCAACACACTATAAACTAGGGCACATGCCCATCTTATTTGTCTACTGAGAAAAATGTTTGCAAGGGAAGAGCCAATGTACAACCTGGACTGCACGAGGGGGGCTGTAACCACTGGAAAATGAAGGTCGAGGAAAAGCCGGGAAGTGCAGGGGAGCACTCGGTGGATCTTTCAGTCACCTTCTCTTGCCAAAAAAGTCTACAGTACTCTGCTAGCAGGGTAGAGGGTATCTCGCATGTGGGAGGCGGGGAGACAAGTGAGTTAATCCAACCTTCTCCCACTCACTGTTAGCATCTCTCCGCCCTCACCGGGGAATGGGAGAGGCGGCTTCCTCTACGGGAAATGTAGTACCGCTGTCTTCCTCCTGCAATTACGGACCCTTTTGCCAAGTCTGCCAAATGGATTCAGTGCAAGGTGATGAACAGCAAACAGAACTGAGACTCAGCAAACTCATCTTATGGAGGGACTAACTAATATCACAGGGAGGGAAGAACTGTAAACCCTGCCACACTGGCCTGGACTTAAAGTGTGGTCAAAAGAAAAAAAAAAATCTTTGATATTTACACAGCCTCTTAGTCAATGCTGTGTTCGTTCACTAATGTATATTATAAACAGAAAATAGATAGAAGAATATTTATAAATTTGCAAAGACTCAGATAGGAAAAGTAAAAATTAAAGATCCTCAGATTGGATGGTGGGACTGAATCAGGCTTTTACAAAAGTATTTGTTATGATACAGTGTTTCATTATACACGCATATACTCTTCTTCCCCCATCTTATTCAGTGAAGAGGATGCACACTGCTCATTTAGTGACTGGCTATTCAATATTTTGTTTTCTTGTCACTGTTTACTCTGAACTTTTCTGACGTATTTATTGTACACTATTCAAACCTTGCTCTGAAGACAGAATGGCTTTTCAATAGCACATATCAGTATATAGCACTTGAATGCTTCACAAATACCAACTGTGTTATTTTCCTAATATTCTCGTGAGATAAGGCAGCAAAGTTACCTCCATTTTAGGGACAGGGAATTGAGGCACATAAAACACATGGCAAAAGGTATCTACAAATTTATGAAACACAGTCTGAGGCATTTAGGACTTGCTTTTCCAGAATGTTTAGCATTGTACAGTATTTCACATGATCAAATGCTGATTTCATTTGCAGCTGTGAGTGCTTAGTATTTCTTCAAGAACCCCAAGTCAGGCACTCAGAAAGCAAGAGACACTAAATAAGAGTACAGAAATAAAAATGCTGGGTTGAAGTGACGTGATCACACAGAAGCTCAGTGGTATAGGCAGGGACACATCATACCTTCCACGGTATCTTTCAATCGTCTTAATTATGAGACCATCCCTCCTGCAATCCTTGCCCTCTCTACAATCCCAATTTTCAAACATTACAACAAATTGCTGGTTCCCCAGGAAGCGTATTTCACTGCATATGCCACATTCATCCTCAGCTCAGACGTATTCTGAACAATAAACAACACTAGGGTCCTCTGAAAACAACTGAATATTATGCTGCCATTAAGATCTGAATCACAGCACACACACACACTACCTCTGAATAAAGCCTAAATAGGCATTTCAAAATATCATTCCTTACGTATTCTGTGCACAGCTTAAAAATATAAACACGGCTGCAAATATTAATCCTATTAAGTATTTTAACACCATTAAAAATATTCTAAATTTGAAACCACAAACAAACTGGAAATTCATTGCACGGCATTATACAAACATCCACAGGTTAAACAACAGGCCTTTATTTTTGGCACCAGTAGGGACATTGTGGTCACTTGAACTAAGGCAGTAAGTGATAGCATGAATAGGCTGTGATCCTTTCTGAACACCAGCATTACAGAATGATCAGACATTTGCACAGATATTTGCTGACCACAGAGAAACAATTACATTTAAAGTCCCAGTTTAGGACAAAATGTTTTCTGGTGGACAGACTTCTCTGCTATTTCTGAGGCTGTGACCGTGACCTCCATCCCTTTCAATCTCTCTCTCTCTCATCAGTCTGATAAGAATCAGGCTGATTTTGCTCCCATAGGCAACCCCAGTCCTCGTGGCCCAGGCCTCCCATCCTACAACTGGTCTTCACGACAAAACCGCCCCTTCTCTGGTTATCTGCGCTCCCCAGCCTCTGCCCCGGCCAGTCTCAGCTTTTTGTTTCCAAGCTCTTC